TGTCATTGGTATTCCCAGGTCTCTGAGTCCCCACGCACTCCCATATGCCTCTGAGTGGATTCATACCGCATTCGGACCCATTGTCTTGCCTGCGCCGTTACACTAATAAAGGCTGCTAAGAGAGATTAGGTTAGTTAATATTGTTAAACGCGCTGCTTAGCAACTTAGAGACTGTTAACTAACTAATTCTATAGTTGTACTGCTGTAAGAACCACTGTATATAGTCCTTATAGCATAGTTAAGGTGTTTGACTCTTGTACTAGCTTCTAAGAGCTCTGCGCTGTTCTTTTGTAATCCTGCAAGCTATTGCTTGTTAATTTTAGTAAGGCAATATTTTAGTGTTTTGCAGCTGATATATTAGGGGGTAAGGTATTAATTAATTTGTATAGGGGGATAATTGAGGCACAAAAAAATTATCGCGATATTAAGGTTATCAGCTTGGCAGGTGATCGGCTTGGCGGGGTTTGACTGTATCAATACAATTCAATGCATTACCTCTGACTAATCTAAACCGTGTCAATCTTCAGCCGTTCTACCATCAGGAGAGCCACTAGCAGAGTCATCAGAGGGTGTTTGCTCAACTTCTCGTTCCACTAAAGCCCTTAAAGAAGATATGGAATGGGGGTGGTCCGCTCCTAGAATGTGTTATCGAAATGGTACCAATTCCCTTATTAGACCTACAGCCTCCGCATCTCGGCCCTATTCCACGTGAAGGCTCAACTACTTATGCTAGTTGTGTCTATCAAGTCGGCTCCGGGTATCTTCTTGCGAGTCTCCATTACTTACACCTCCAGCTCTTTGGCTTCCTTCCCCGCCCTTGCTTGCTGTACGTTGATACCAGATACGATCGAAAGGACGACAGATTATGTAGAAGTCGCGCAGATATGGATTCTGCTGTTCCACCACCTGACGGGGGCCTGTTTAACTGACCGATGGCAGCCAAAGCCCTGCAAATCGTAGCTATTATAACAAGGGCCTCGAAATCATTCCACAAAAAGACTACCATCTCATCGAGGTATTGATCCGGCTTCTCATGTAAATGGTCACGGAGGGTGTTGAGTAAGGGGAGGTGATAGTGCAAAGCGTCTACCACCGTTCGGGGGGGGTCTGGTGGTGCCGAAGAAGCAAAGGCTGGAGGCTTATCCTTTTGATTAAGCGGGTGCTACAGCCAGCAACTTCAGTCATATAAGAGGCATTTAGAGTCTTACTAACGATCATATAGCGGATTAGTTCGTGCTTTGAGGCTGCAAGGTTCGGCGACATGATCTGATGTTCGTTTCACCACCAATGAGCGGAAGCTAAAGCACGTGCCGCTACTTGGGGCGCGAAACACACAGCAGCGGATCAAAGGTTCAGCCTTGTCAAGCACTCAGCTGTACTCAGCTGGCTGACGTCAGTTAGCTAGCGAGAGCTGATATGGCCGGCGTTGACAGTGTTCTCGCTGCAACCGATTTCTCTCCCTTTCACGCGCAAGACCGACAGTGGCCACGGCTTGAGCGATGGAGCAGGCCATGTTTACAAAGCATGGCAATGAGCCAAACCCTCTCGACAGCACCGGGCTCTGTCTGCTGTCCCTTGATGGCGGGGGCGTGCGCGGACTTTCAACGCTCTACATCTTAAAAAGCATCATGGATCAACTAAACCACGAACGCAAGAAGGACAACCTCCTTCCAACAAGGCCATGCGAGGTGTTCGACCTTATTGGTGGCACCAGCACTGGCGGGTAGGTAGCCCTGCTCCTTGATGGGCGCGGGCGCGACTGACGCACTGTCGCAACAGGCTGATCGCAATCATGCTCGGCTGGCTCGAGATGAGCGTAGATGAATGCATTACGGCATACAGTGACCTTGCGGAAACCGTCTTCGGTGAGAAACTGAGCCGCATTCCAGTCAACATCAAGGGCAAAGTTAAGCCGCGATTTGACTCCGCAAAATTGGAGAGTGCGATCAAAAAAGTAATAACGCAGTGTGGTGCGTGCGAGACAGATTTGTTCAATAATAGCACAGAGCGGAGATGTCGAACGTCGGTTTTCAGTTCATATGATAAGTCTAGATTCTGACAAGAACAGTTTTGTATGTTCTATTGATCGCGATACAAAGGACATGGTCCGGCTCCGAAGCTACAGCCTTCCTGATGAGCCAAGCATTTGCGCGACAGTTTGCGAAGCCGCCCTTGCGACGTCTGCCGTCACTACCTTCTTTGATCCTGTTAGTATTGGATGCCGTACCTTCGCCGACGGCGGGTTTGGTGCAAATAATCCAGTGGAAGAGGTGGAAGGGGAAGCTGCCAACATCTGGTGCTCGGAAACGAGAGACTTAATGCCTCTAGTTAAGTGTTTCATCTCAATTGGGACAGGAAACCCAGGCAAGAAGGCATTTGAGGACAACATGGCCAAGTTCCTTAGTGAGACGGTAGTGCAGATTGCATCGGAGACGGAGGCAGCAGAAAAGAAGTTCATCGCTAGGTGGGCTAAGCATTTTGATGAGAAGCGGTATTTCCGCTTTAATGTTGAGCAAGGGCTGCAGAGTATTGGGCTTGATGAGTATAAGAAGAAGGGGGCTATTGAAGCGGCTTCAGAAGGGTATCTCACCCATATAGCACAGAAGTCCAGAGTGCGAGATTGCATCCAGAACTTAAGGTTGAAGCAGAGTATGTATATCTAAGGCTTTTTGTAGATTTAATAAATGTTGAACTGATGCTGGATAGGCACGGCAGCAACTAATCTCGCATGCCTTATTACCGTAAGAGTAACGAGACTTTACGCCAGAGTTGTATTGACGTTACATAGGAGTACAACGTGCAGCACACAATAGCGCTCCATAATAGTGTGTCCCTCGTTGGTATCAAACTACAAACGCTAAATGTTGGACAGAATCCCAAACGAAAGCGCCCTGGAGTGTTCCTTTCCAGAGGAACCCACGTTTTGTTGGTCGGGGCGCTGAAATTGCCCAGGTTGATGCCATGCTTTCTAGTGAAACTCGCTGCGATCGAGTTGCCATTATTGGACTTGGCGGCGTCGGGAAGACCCAAATTGCGCTTGAATTTGCCTATCAGATGCGAGAGAGGCAGCCGGATTGCTCAGTGTTCTGGATACCAGTAACAAATGTCGAGAGCATGCTGAAAGCGTATCTAAATATTGGCCAACAGCTTCGGATCCCTAATCTTGAGCACGAGAAGGCAGACGTACAAAAACTCGTCCAACATTGCCTAAGTCAAGAAAACTCCGGCAGGTGGCTATTAGTATTTGACAATGCCGACAACATTGACATCTGGACGGATACAGCGAGCAACACAACAGGCTCAGGCCGTCGAATCGATTACCTACCAAAAAGCAAGCGTGGATCTATTCTGTTTACAACGCGAAATCGAAAGGCGGCGACGAAGCTGGCCGGTAAGAATGTGGTTTTAGTTAGCGAGTTGGACAAGAGCATGGCGATGGACTTGCTAGAGAAATCATTGATCGACCAAGACGTGGTAGCTGATGATAGGGGGGCTGCGAACTTACTCCGCAAACTTACCTATCTACCTCTTGCAATTGTCCAAGCAGCTGCATATATCAACGAGAACGAAGCCACACTAGCAGAATATACGGAGCTTCTTGATGATACAGAGCAGAACAGGATCGATCTCCTCAGTGAAGAGTTTGAGGATGAGGGGCGATATGAGGATGTTAAGAACCCAGTTGCAACTACTTGGCTCATATCGTTTGAGCAGATCCAAACGCGCGACCCGCTAGCAGCAAAGTATCTATCATTTATGTCGTGCATTGACGCCAAGGACATTCCGCAGTCGCTTCTTCCGCCGGCAGAGTCAGCAAAGAAGGCGGTTGATGCTATTGGAACGCTTACTGCATACTCCTTTGTTACTAAACAGAAGACAGATCGGCTCCTGGACCTTCATCGGCTCGTACACCTTGCAACAAGAAACTGGCTACGAATAGAAGGCTCTCTCGAAGCGTGTGTAGCCACTGCTGTAGAACGACTAGAGGAGGTGTTTCCGGACAACGACCACACGAATAGGAGTCTATGGAGGATGTACCTACCGCACGCGCGATACGCCCTAGAGTCAGAAACAGAAGGCCCAGGAAGAAGAAAGGCGGAGTTACTATGGAAATTTGGGATGTGCACCTATAGCGACGGGAGATACAAAGAGGCAGAAAAGGCTTTCCAGCAAGTGATGGAGACTCGCAAGAAGAAGCTCGGGGCAGACCATCCCTCCACACTATCCAGCATGGCCAATCTGGCGTCAACCTAC